ATCTTCGTTACTATAACTGCGCGTCTTTTGTATTATCTGTATAACTATAATAGCGAAATATTAATTAGAGATTTGTAATTAGAGATTTGTAGCGAACCCCTGCAGAAGGGAACTTGTAATGAGAACAAATTACGAACCTACTTCGACAATCAGACGGGCCGCTGTCGTTACTTCTTCTACACTGGATGCGGCGCTAATCGAAACAATTTCCCAAACGAGCAGGATTGTTATAAAGTCTGCAATAATTTGCAAAGTAAGTTAATGCGCCATATTTACTGTTTTATAATGACGCATCATGATAAGGTTGTTAATTATGAGATCCTCACACGCACATATATGCTAATAAAATTTTCCACCAATTCATCAGTGGGATATAGATTTCTGAAAAAGTGACTAAAATTCATGAAGTATTCCAATCGCAGTGGAACATGATATTAGGGTATTTTCGGGGTTGCTGATTTCGAATCCGATCTCAAATTTTGAAAATTGAAAATGGCGGAATCAATATAGCAAACCAAAACGCAAAAAATAGTCGTACATTACTTATCGACTTGTGATTTTAAGTTTTTTAAAAATATTAATTATTACTAATATCTTAACATATGTGAAAGAAAGATTATAATAGAATTATAATAAATTAGATTATATTTGAATATTTATTTTATTCTTTTAAGGTTTTCAAAAATTATGCGCTTTTTCGCCGTCTGATGAACTCTTAATCTGCATCACATATAACGCTTCTGACTTCCGCATTATCAGTAAACTGTCTTTTCACGAATAATCAATTTGTGTTATAACTTGCACACGCTTACTAACGAATTCAGGAGAATTGAGGGCGAATATGTCGACAATTATGAAAAACTTGAAGGTGTCCCTTAGCAGCGTTCTCAGCTATCATATTCCCGTTCAGGAGCAACGCAGCACGAAAGCGAAGAGAGCGCAACACGGTGATAATTAATTGCTTTATACAAAAATTAATCATTTCTCGTTAATATCAAATCAATATTTATGACAGAGATCCATTATGAATACACATACACATACACACACAGAATACGTATATTCTGTTCTTATGGAAAATACGAATTTAAAAACCATTAGCCAAGAAATGCAATGCATAGAAATTTTTGCTTCGCTAATGATCATCTTGCGCCTCTTTACAGAAAAGGAGAATTTTAAAGGCATTCAAGCAAGCAGCCAGATAATGGAATCAAATGAAAATGGCAAAGTGGACTGTCAGGTCTCCGAATGGAGTAAATGGACCCGTTGTGATAACTGTCGTGGATACACTATGAGCATCAGGGAAATTATGGTATTATTAGAAATTTATTCATGTATCTATTAAAATTTTTCGATGCTTACGACACAGAACAAAAACACAATAATGTTTCAACGAGCAATAACTATTATTTATAAATCCTCCAATCAAAGAAATTATACATATATGTATACACATATTACTACGTTGTAAAAGAATGTACGTAAATCTAAAATTGATTTCTCTTGCGAACAGATTCCAGCCGAGAATGGAGGTAAAAGCTGTCCAAAGAAGATTCTTCGAAAAAAGAAGTGTCACAAGATTCCACCTTGTTGTAAGTATTATTTTCTCTAATTTATCACTAATCTAATTTAATTATTGAAACAGTTACGAAAGCTTGATGTATTCATGTTGCTAAATTTTTAAATATCTTTTATCATATGAAAACGGAATTTTTGTTTTTTTTTTTAATCAATTCTACTATTAAAAATTAATATAAATAAGAAATAAATTTTGTAGCTCTACAGGGTGATGGAACAGGTCGGCGATTTCATAGAGACAAAGATACCGGAACCGATTATGAGAGTAAGTCCTATGTCACTTTAAAATCTCGCTTCAAATGGATAAATAAAAATCGCAGAATTCTGTGAATTTGAAATTTATTTCATCAGAATTTCCCGCTTTTTATTTCTTTACATACGTATAAAATATACTGAATTTACACGCAGTAAATTTAATGCTTCGAGTACATAAACGATATTAAATTTCTCCGTATTAAGAAAAATTGTTCCAGCAAACAAAATTGGTTTCGATGAAATGTACTCATTAACGAGTGAAAAGCCCGTCAAACGAATTAACGCAATAGGTGAAACCAATTTATTGATTCATGATCTGGCTGGGGACGAGTTTGATATATGTTTAATAAAATATTTTAACAAAATTCAAAGAAAAAACGTAGTAGTGGCAACCATATAGATAGACAACTCTATATAAGTTTATAAGATTATATAAAATAATAAAATTAATGTAAGGTAAAAAACTGTACTCGATTTGGTCTAGCGATTTTTGCTGAGTCCAACATTAAAAATTGATGATTAAATTCAAAGTAAAAAACATTTCTAAACATTAATTGAAAATGTAAGACATTTTCAATATTTGTGAATATTGAAAATGTCTCACATTTTCAATTAATGTTTAGAAACGTTTTCTATTTTGGATGCAATAAAGTTTTAACCATCTATGTAACTATCTACAAACAGCAAGTAGGTCATATTAAGTATTAGATAGTATTGAGTGTAATAGTTACCTAGTTCAGTATATATTGGACCGTATTCCACTATAGTTATATAATGGAATAAACTACTTAATAGGCTCAGTAGTTGCATGAATAACTATAAAATAGTTGTATTCAACAATATCTATCTTGAATAATAAGAGTTCAAAGAAATAAATCAAAATAAGTAAAAAATGCAGGTTAATATAAGCTGATGCTGGATGGTAATATGTAAAACTTTTTAGTTTTATTCAACTATACATATATATTTAATTTCGTTCAACTATATACTTCTACATATAAAACTTATATATAGTTGCTGTAACTATAATATATTTTTCTTTTAGTGAAGAATGATCGTAAGTTTTGTTTGTCTAACCATCTCGTTCGTAAAGTTACAGTGGATTGTAAAGTGACACCATGGTCAACGTGGTCAAAGTGCAGTGCGACCTGTGACGAGGGGTTACGAAGTAGAGTCAGAAGTATAACGGTGAAACCGAGAGGAGCCTGGGCCAAACTCTGTCCAACCTTGGTAGAATTCAAGAAATGCCGCAAGATGGAATGTCCGCAATAGACGGGCGTAACGTTTCCACAATTTTGTCGCTAGTTAATCGATAGCGATTTGCACGGCGATTCTGTTTGGAACATTGGAATTTATATGACTAGACTGATTATGAGTGACACTCCCTCTTAGATGTCACGCAGTCAAAATCTCGGAGCGCATTTAGGAATAGAGGTAGCGAAGCTATATCAGAGAATAAAAATAACACGGACAACACAACTTTATCGGACATTCACTTGGATGTTCGTCGTTTTCATAGTGAAGATAGAGTTTACGAGATAAAAATCAGGGAAACAGCGAATGACATGATAAAATACATATTTCATTTGATAGCAAAGTTAAAGATATTTTAGATTTTGAAGTTAATCTACGTTTATTTTACAATATAATCATCTTTTTTGACTTACATATTAAATTTAATTTCCTGAAAAAGAACAAAAAATATGAATTTTCAAAATCAATAAAAGTAAATACTACTTTAAAGAAACAAAAAAATCTATAAAATAGAAAAATCGATTTCTCTATCTTGTGATATATCTCTACACAATTTGAACCAACATTTAACTATAGTCTTAAGACGCATTGCACATTCGCTAATTATTTTCTAGACACTGAAAAAAAATTAAATTTTAATAAATACTTGTTTGAATAATTCTAAGTAAATTTTATTAATATAAACATATATTTATTTGATACAAAAACCATTAATTTGATTCAACTATCATTTCTTTTATTAATATTTATTTACTGTAAGGACTGTAAGTAAATATTTACTTATTGTTGATATTATTCAAAGATATATGTATTAAGATTTAGTAAATCTTTTTCAGTATAGAGAACAGAAGTTCATGTAATGTTCTTCTGTAATAGCTATAGTAAAAAAAAAGGAATTGTTTCTCTCTATGTTCATGTTCTTCGTCCTCCAGTGTAATTTACTACGCACAGAGAAATCGTACCACATCATTTTACGATACTCGTCGTGCCAATGCTGAATTACTTAATATTTCGTATAACTTTATTTACCTTAAAGCTGTAACACGTGAAGGATTTTCCCTAACATGATATTAAGTTAAAGCAAAATGGATTTGCGTTCCATTGCGTCACATCAGTTGTGCTTAGAAAAAAGAAAACGTTAGAATTTTTGCAATTATCCATACCCATAATAAAATAATATCGAATAGTCATAATAGTTTTTCGCAAAAGGCGAAGACAAATCATTTGATATCTACTTAATGATAGCAAAAGGGTAAAATCAGAATATAACCGCGACATAATAATATTAATGTTAAGAGAGTGTTGCTCCTTTCTAGCGCGGGTAGTAAAATGAGAAGAAGACCACTCGTAATGACATTTATTTATACGCGTATCGTCATATTTGTAGCATTTATCACGCAGATCTCATTGTAAGACCAAAGTTTATATAACAACTTCAGTTGAAAACTGAGAACCACAATATTTTAAAATACTATTGTAAAATGCGATTTTGGGTTTGTTTTTTGTAGCTGAATTAGTGTACACTTTTGGAACTCAAAGTGAGATAGATATATGTTTGATATTTGGTGAAAGCAAGAGAGTAATTTTAGTGCAATCTAGTGCAGGAATAAAAAACAGACTTGTAGACATATCAGTAGTTCGATAGACAGTAAGTTGTTTGTTTGACGCGTAACGGGAAGTTTTATTAACATGGAATTCTCTTCATTGACAATAATGATATCGTAGGTATGGTACAAAAAAGCTATTTACCTGTTATTCTTTTGTAAATCCGTTATAATATAATATATTCAAAATAAATATAATCAGTATAAGTGTATTCACATTGTATATATACATGAATGCATACATAAATACGTACACATATTATTATTACATTAATTTAATTACATGAAGAACTAATTTTTTTTGCATGTCAACAGTGATAAATTCTGATTTCATCTATCTATATTTATAACATTCAATCTCACGTACCTCTTTCATTATTAACTATACTGGAATTTTCAGTCTCATCTTTATTATTTACAGAAACGTCTTCATTCTTATGTGAAGGATTTATTAAGAGTAAAATTACGTTCTTCTTTGATGGCATTCGCTGGATACTGCCATCATTTCTTACAACATCCTCGATGACTCTTTGCACCTTACCCTATATGTTAAATGAAAAAACTTGCATGTAATTAAATAATTATTATGTTTTTCATGAAAGGTTTTTTATCTCAACATTGTTTGCTTAAATATTATATAACTTTCAAACAATTACCTTAAAAGATACCATTTATATAGATTATCAATCTTGAAAATTTTTCCCACAATTTTTATATGAATTGGAACACTTTTCAAAAATACTGAGAAAGTCTATATTTTTTTTAGAACTTTTTATAGACAAATTCTGAAATATTCTATGATTTCTAAGGCTTTTCAAACATATTTTATAATAAAAAAAATACCTTAAATTTTTTTCAGATTTTATAAAATTTTATCAGAAATTATAAAATGAGAGAAATCTTGGAATATTTTAGAATACACATATATGAAAAATTCTTGAAAAGATGTAGATATTTTTCAAAACTTTTAAAAAGTAATTAGATTTTTTTAATACAAATTCCAATTTGTATTTAAAAAAAATCTAAGAAATTTTCTAAAACATTGTGAAATGCAAAAACTCTGAAGTTTTGAAATTTACATAAATAATTATTTGAATAAATATTATATGAAAAATTCAGAGAAAAATTTTCATTACAAAGATTTAATTACTATTTAAACAACTGATAATTAGAATATCAAAAGAAGAAAAAGGTTCGTAGAGAAAATAAATCGACTAAATGTAAATTATAAGAGCTGACATCTGCAGTTGTTTGTGCAGTATATTTATATTATATATAAAGTCTTTATTACATACTATTAAAAAACAAATAAATTATTACATATTATTAAAAAAAGCAATTAAATTAAATCAAATTAATTGTTTTTTAATAATATGTAATAAAGACTTTATTGTACATACAAATAATTGATGTTGGTTTTTATAGGTATTTAATATAAAGAAATTCTTCGTTATTGCATTTTTATCTGATAGTCCTCTTGATAATCTCTTTTCGCTGATCAGTTATATACCAAAAAGCAGAGGAAAGAATCACAGAACTCACCCCGTCGGCACCGTCCAGAGTAATGGCGATCTTAACTTTGTATTCCTTGTTCAATAATTTCATCATGTTCTTCGTCTTCGTCTGTAGGTCATGTTCAGTGATCTTCGCGGATACGTAGAATATTTTAGTACTCTTGCTCGACTTCTGTGCAGCCTTGTTGGTGTCCTGAGTATCCTCTTCGGTCTGGTGCTCGAGAATGTTGGTATTGCTCACTAACTTATAGAGCGGTCGCTGCGTCTTACTCTCAAGGTCGCTGACCTTAATGAGGGTAAGGTTGCGCCGTTTCGCCAAACGCTGAGCCACTTCCAGCACGGTCACAGTGGTCGAGTTGTCCGATGACAAGAGCGTGATCTTCGGAATCGGCTCTGTTTTTGGCCGCGGCTTCTTATTGCCGTTGCTGTCAATCTGCTCCGGCTTTCTGTTAAACGTTCGACACTGATCGAACCTCGAAATATCACGTGTCACGCGACACCGACTGAAGCTTTGAGCGAGATGCACGGCCTTGCGTAAAGCCGGCGGTAACCCGAGAACTATCATAACTCGGCAGTTCCGTCCGAATCCAATTCTCTGTTGTTCTCTATCGAACCTAACCTAAAATTGTCATGCATCGCACCACGTGCCTGCTCCTAACCTTACTTGCCGCATATGCTCGCGTTGTCAAAGGGTACATTCAGTACTACACCGCTCACTGACGGCTCAGTGAGCTCTTGCATCTGATTGGTATATTCCGTTAGAACTAAAAATATAGACCAAACAGATACAAAAGCTCAGTGAGCGGTCGTGGTACTGAATGCACCCAATATTTTCGCCAAATGTTTGTTACCTAAAGCCTGTCACAATTGCGGAATGCATCGAGAATTATCGCGATTGACGCCAATAAATAGCAAAGTAAGTTAAGTTATGTTAAGTTAAATTTTAAGTAGCAATGTAAGTTAAATTAAATTTTAAGTAGGTAGATGGTTTCCAGGTGATTCGATTATCCATATTTTAGGCTGCGTTCCGTTTCACGCATGATGCACATGATGCATCTTTTATCCTTGTTATTCACCGAATGTTAAACAAGGATAAATGATGCATTATGCACATCATGCGTGAAACGGAACGCAGCCATAGATTGTTCACATAGTGACACGTACTACGTAGTTTACATTTTATACACGTAAACACCGACGAGGTACTATTCTCGTCACCCTGGTGAAAATTTTTCTCATAATTTTTATATATCGAAAAGTTTACATCTTCTCTCAGAATTTTTCATACAAATGAATTCTGAAATTTCTCATCCCATAATTTTTAAAAAATATTTTTTAATTTTTTAGATTTTATATATAACATTTCATTAGAAATTATACTTACAAAAACTTTAAGAAATCTGACGATATTTCATAAGTAACATATATGAAAAATTCTGAGAAATTTTCGTCAGCGATGTAAATTATTATATTTTACGCGTAAACATATAACCCTGGTAAAGATACGCAAATTGGTAGATGGAGTGGTTAGAACCCCAAAAAATTTTAATTTTGAGATTTTATATTTGTATTTTTTATTAGTATATAGTTAAATTTACGTTATCTTTATGAGATAGAAGAAAAATGAACTTAAATATTAAATAACTAAAATAAGACTTCTGGATAATACTTTTTATTTTCCTTTTTCAGAACAAAGTTTTAAAGAAAACTGTACCTAGACACATAGTGGCTGCCACATCTACTCCCTTAAAGTTAACATGTCAACCGAAGAAAAACACATTTCAACAGAAGCTCAAGTGAAGCAGGATGGAAAGGATGTTTTTTCTTCTTCATCCTCTTCTTCTGTCCTTTGGAGACCCAACAATGTACTTTTGAAGACCTTTCTTCTGATCACCTGCATTAAGATTCTCCTGATTCCTACTTAGTAAGCAGACGTTTTGTACAATCTCTTTGCTGGTCTATTTGTGAAAGATTACTTATATTGAGGTTTACATCTATTTTTGTGCAGCCGCTCTACTGATTTTGAGGTACATCGCAATTGGCTGGCCATTACATATAGTCTACCTGTTGCAGAATGGTATGTGAATGCACAATCTCCTTGGACTCTTGATTATCCGCCTCTATTTGCATGGTTTGAGTACTGCCTCAGCCAAGTGGCTGCATTTTTCGATCCAGAAATGCTTAAGGTGGAGAATTTGAATTATGCCTCGTCAGCCACTATATATTTCCAGAGAGGCACTGTTATACTTGCCGATCTGATATTTGCTTATGGAGTAAGAGAGTAAGTACGAAATTTATTTAATTATATTAACAACCTTCACATGGTAATATAATTAAAAAGATCTTTAACTTATTGTTATTAAATAAATATAAAAGATATATATATATATACTAAAGATATATATACTAAGAATAAATCTAATAAAAAGAATTGTGAAAAAGCCAATTAAGAACCAACACAGTTGTCGATGCGTAAAAATGTTATATTAGAAAATTATTAACTATACAGATGTTTTGATCAATGTTTGATTCTTCTCCATGCAAATTAAAACAAATATAAATTTAACTATTGTTAACTCATAATATAATTAACGCATTACTGAAGTATATATGTATAAATATTGTTGAGTCATAGTTATCACGCATTATAAACATAATTTGTAGATTAGTTATCTTGTTATCACAATGGTGTGAGAAAAGGCTAAAAGCAAGGTGTTGTATGACAGTAGTTAATTGACAGATAAACCAGTGGATAAACGCGTCAGTAGTACAAATTTTTTTGTGTAACGCCAAGTAATGTAACGTCAGTTAGATTATTCCAATACAACGATTGTAATTTTCGTGAATACAGAGAAAAATTATTATGACTACAGGTCTGTTCTTTTTAGCTAAAGTTCTTGCATGGTTCACCTTTTCTCTTTTTCAACGTGCAGGGAAAAGGAAGAAAAATGAACTATGCAAGAAGTTCAACCAAAAGAACAGACCTTATGTTAACTAAGAGTTAAAACACACACACACACACAGTAATTCATTACTGTTCTAAATTCAATTCTTTTTATTAGATATATCTCTTTGAAAAAGTTATATCTCCATAGAAGAAAGATTAATTTTTTAAATCTATATACAGAGGATAAACAAAATAATATGAACTTAGGAAGTACACTATTTATTTCCCTACTTTAATAAGAAGTTGGTTTATCATTTGCTTTTAATATTTTCCATCCTTGTTGAATCACTTAGTGCTTGAATAATTGACTATGAAATATTGTATTATACTATTCTTTTAGTAGAATATCTTTTATCCTTAGAAGAACATCATTTCTTATATAACTATATTGGAGGATAAAATTTTCTTCCTATTCTATTTTCCAAGATTGTTCCTCAGTTTTCCAAAACTTCAACTTCTTTCCTGATCAATGTAATCGCCTGATTTAAATTATTTGTAATTTCTTGAAGAACAGAGTGAGAAACAACCAAGAAATTGATTCCTGAAACTGACTTCCTCTTTTAATATCGTAAGTAATTAGAAGATGTTCTGCTAGAAGAATATACTATGTAATATTATACTGTAGCAGTTGCTACAGTATTCAAAAAGAACTTTATTTCAACAATAATAGACTCTATATTAAAAACAAATGGTAAACAGAATTCTTATTAATAAAACAAGTAGATAATATATTTTTTAAATAGTTACATTATTTTGTCTATCCTCTATATGTACTGTAGAAATTTTTGTACGATATAAAATGTAAATCTGAGTTTCTTTTTTTTTGCAGAATGAGTAGGACATTTTGCAAATCTTTGAACAACCACATAGTTTTCGTATTTCTGTCATTGTGCAATATAGGACTGTTGATAGTCGACCATGTACATTTCCAATACAATGGCTTTTTGCTTGGCATTCTGTTGATATCAATGGCAAACGTTTCGAAGACTGGCAAAGAGGTAAATCTTGTAATATACTGGAATTTACTTATAGTAAAGTAGCTCGTTTCTAGATGACGGTTTGTGCTGTGCATAACGGTGCTATGTGGTTTTCCATTTTACTAAATCTAAAACATTTATATGTGTATGTGGCACCAGCATACATTGTCTGGTTACTAAAATCACACTGTCTGAATAGTGGAAAGTTCTTCAGGCGGTTATTTAGTCTTGGACTTATCGTTCTGACTGTTCTAGCAGTGTCCTTTGGTCCATTCAGAACTCAATTACCACAGGTAATATTTATATAATTGCAGATTATATTTCATTTATATACATATGTGTATTGTTATTAGGTAATTTCCCGTTTATTTCCATTTAAAAGGGGCCTGGTGCATTCGTACTGGGCTGCGAACGGTTGGGCCCTATATATTGGCGCCGAGAAAGTGCTATCTGTGATATGGAAACACTTGGGATGGTTGAAAGATGTTAAGTCTGCAGTAATGACGGGTGGCCTAGTGCAAGAACAAAACTTCCTTATATTACCCACTCCAACCCCTATCGTTACATTTCTTCTGACTTTCGTGACAATGCTCGTAAGTTTATCCATGTAGCGCATAGTGACTTAACTGTTCTTCTGTATTAAATATTATATATTATATTTTTATGTTTTTATTATGTTTTTTATCTACATACACATGAATAAATTAAACAACTAATATAATTATTTTAGCCTGCATTATGGTGTTTGCTATGTAAGAAGCCCTACATGAACTCGAAAGCTTTTATTAGGTGTATTGTATTATGTGCTTTAAGTTCATTCATGTTTGGCTGGCATGTACATGAGAAAGCTATATTAACCGCAATTATTTCTTTGTGGTAAGTATTATACGCCTTATAACAGAGTCAGGCCATGAGAAGTTTTCAAAACAAAAATGAGAAAAGATATATATATATCTATTATATATATATATATATAATTATATATAATATTTTATATACATATAGTATAGTATTCATTCAAATTTATATTATCTTACGTTCTAATTTACTAAAGTTGACAAAAACGACAGGCCAATCAAAAGTCTGTTATTTCATGGCCAGACTCTGATACATAGTAAATATTAAACGCATCATATAAAAGTTACTGTTTTATTACCTTACGAAGCTTGTATTTATTTGGAGCTAAAATATAATAATATAGTAATATAATATGTTTTATAATAATTTTAGCGTCCTCGCAGCGCTACATGCGGAAGACGCGCGCATATTCATTATTTTAAGCAGTGCTGGACAAACTGCTCTCTTGCCATTGCTATATCCCGATAACTTGTCTTCTCTGAAATTACTGTTGTCACTGGCATATATGCTTTCATCGATTTTAATCTTGACTAATCACCACGGCAAGCCTCTATTACGATTACATGAATGGCTGTACGTAATACCACTGCCACTAGTTACAGTCTACGAAGTGGTACTGCATAAATTGTTACTCGGCGACAAACTGCCATTCTTACCATTAGCATTTACTTCTATATACTGTGCCATTGGTATAACTTATTGTTGGATGTTGTACTATTATATGTATCTGCAAAATGACGCTCGTGCCAATGAAAGAACAGCTGAAGACAAATCTAATCGCCAAAGATTAAAGGATAAGCAATTCTAGAGTTTACAAATTGCTAGACATTTACTGTAACTATTTGTATCCTCCTGAGCGAAATAAAACATTTTTATAAATTGTATATTTATCCGATGACTAAACATATTACATAATTTAATATTTTATTTATTATACGTAGAAATTTAAGAGAGAATTTTTTAGTTTTAAGAATTTTCTAATTCACGTAAAATTTGTATTTTTGGCGCGAATGTAATCGAGGTTAGTACCTCTGCGTAAGCAACACTTCAGGGAGTCGATTGCATATTTTGAAATGAGGTGAAAATTACAAATGTGAGCAAATTCACTAGTTATTGAACAATTAAATTATGAGTATTCTAGTGAATTTGCTCACTTTTATAATTTTCACCTTATTTCATCTTATTTCGAGATACACAATCGACCCCCTGAAGTCTGTTGTATTGCTATACCAGCTGCGTTCGGCAATGTAAATCTGAGATGCGAGCTAGCAGATGGTGAGCTTGATCACGTGATCTTCGAACAAACCGAGACCCAAAAATTAATTCTGGACGCATCCGAACGATACAGAGCTGTCATTTAACGTCATTTAAGATTATAGCAAATGTTTAGAAGATCCCGGCCGCCTCAAATTTCGATAAAAATGCACTCAATCGGTGCGTTTTCGCGTAAAAATAAAGATTTAACAAGAAAAAAAGTGTCGTTCCGCCCTGGGAATTGAGATATTAATCATTAAAGTCGACAACTATTCAGGTTAGGAAATCTGTCACAGCAGTGATTCACTGTTTTAAAAACAAATTCACTGTTTTAGCAGAGTTTTATTTTTAATGCAGACAATTTGTAGCGTTACTTATGAGTAACCTATTTCAACTGCGTGAAAGAGATTCGGGTGAAACTTAGCGAACGCGTGCGCCGACCAGGGGGTCGATTGTGTAACTCGAAATGAGGTGAAAATTACAAAAGTGAGCAAATTCACTAGAATATTCATCATTTAATTGATCAATAACTAGTGAATTTGCTCACTTGTAATTTTCACCTCATTTCAAGATACACAATCGATTCCCAGGACCTCTGAAAAGGTTATGAATTCAATTTAGGCGTGAAAACTTGCATTAGCTCCACGAGCTCGATCTTTGAATCCAGAGTGGATTGAGGAGCTCGATTAGCTCTAGAAATGTTAATATCGAACGCAGATGAGATGACATGTAGCAGAAAGATACGAGTTGCCGAACGATTTGCGAGGTGAAAGAGCAAACGGATGCCTCCGATTTGCAATGCCGAACGCACCTACCGTCTGGGCTGCGTTTGGAAATATCACCCGGGTGCCGCCGTGTATCGTTTTATTCTTATTCGATTCTTATTGAACATTGGGTGCGTTCAGCAGAACGTTTGTTTTGCAACTGTTGTAAGTTTCCTTCGCGCTAATTGGATCATACTTTTAGATCTAGAAGAATGGTCCTATCTCAGTAGACAATCATAAAACGGTTGCAAAACTGTTGAGTCTGCTGAACGCAGCCATTGAGTGAAAAACAAGGATGAAACGACACGCGGGGGCACTCGGGTGATGTTTCCGAACGCAGCCCTGGTACACACAGGGCCAGTTTCACCAACGCCGATTAAGCTTAATCGTGATTAACTGTCAACCGTGATTGATCAATTCTACTAAACAGCAAATACGATTGGTCAGTTAACGGCCGATTAAGTTAACTGGCGTTGGTGAAACTGGCCCAAGATGCAATAAGATGAAGCGAAACAAACGTATATTTAGGCCCTGTTCTTTTTGGCTGAACTTTTGCACCAATTCATCTTTCTTCCTCTTTTTTCTTCCTGGAGAGAAAAGGAAGATGAACTGGTGCAAAAGTTCAACCAAAAAGAACAGGGAATCGATTGTATGGCCGAAATCCATAATCCATTCTTACGCCTGGTTTATGCTTCGGTAAAATCCTAAAATTCAGCCAATGGAATACATATTTCAGTTAGGACCAATGACTGGCAGCCCTATTGGCCGAATTTTAGGATTTTAGGATTAAGACCACAGCATAAACCAGCCATTACTCCGGATCTACAATAGAGTTCTAAGCTTTAAGCATAAAAAATGGACGAATCGTCCATGGTCGGTTATTCACCTCGAATTCGACTGCAATTAGTCAATTTCTTACAATTTAAGGTTTAAAACACCTATTGTAGGGCGGTATTCATAGTCCGTTCTTATTTCAAGATCGTCTTAAGTAATGTCTTAAGATGCTAATACGGCCTTCTGATTGGTTCGTGACATCTTAAGACTGTACTTAAGACGATCTTGAATACAAGAATCGACTATGAATACCGCCCGTAGATCCGGGCTTAATCTCAAGCAAGGTCTTAAGCTAATGCTAATACGGCTCTCTGATTGATTTATGTAAACCTAAAATCGTCAAAAATTAATCAATTAAACCCGGATCTAATTATGCGTAGTAAGAAATTATGTGTAGTAAAAAATCAACTTAATCATAAACTTAATTATATTCGACTAATTTTCTTCACTTTCAACTGTGATTGGTCAATTCCTTATGGCTTAAGGAAAGAATTATAATATACAAAGTAATCAGACACAATAAAACATAATAAAATATAATACAGCAAAAAAAATAGACTCAAACCTTTTTAATATAAAATATAAAGTACAAAAATTATTTATAAATTTTTATAACACTTTTGCTTTTATGTATAAGATATCTCGTATACAAAATGCATATCATAACGCAAAATTCGTGTATATTTCAAGAAAATCCAAATCCAGGTTCTGCAGTAACAATCTTTACGTTTTTATTTAATAAATTTTTAATGATACAATGTTTATTAATGGATCCTTAAACAAAAATTTCAATTTCGTATCTCCTACTGTGGAAATAAAAATTATTGAATATTAAGAAACTCGAAACTGAATATTCAATCAAGTTAACTTAGCGAATTTTGTCTTATAATATACGCTTGCATAAAAATGGAATTACGAAATTATCTTTTTTTAAAATACAGATTTTCAGCCCGTTTTTACTAAACATACTTACTAACATGTAAGTATATTCCAAAGTCTCTGTAATCATTAGCAATTATAAAGACTTTGAATACACTTCAAACTTTTCCAATCATATATCGTTAATTTAAGGTTTAATTTAGCAAAAACGAGCTAGAGGCTCACCACCACCTCCGCCGATTTCATCGGCGGTCCTCTTTTCTTTGTAAGAATACTTACCCGTAAAAAAACGGGCCACTAATAAATTTAGTAGTCCGTTTTTGCAGATAGGTATATTAAAAATTTATTTTTTATTTTTATGTCTAATTATTGTATTGTATTTCTCGCTAATTATATTGCATTATGATTAGCGAAATACGATAAAATCATATTGCATAACTTTTTTTAATACTATCTTTTATTGTAATCCTTTATACATTCAGTAATACAATAATAATTGTTTATAATACAATGTACAATTATAAATGCTGTTTGAAATATAATAAAAATTATATTATAGGAGCATAATTAACAAAATTTATTAATGCGGGATTATACGAAAACGTCGAAAAAGCGTACGATAACACAAATTTTTCTAACCCAATATTTAATGAAATATTGCGAAAAGCGGAAAGCAATACTAACAACAATTAAATCGTATTTACTATTAATTGTTAATTTACAAATATAAAACTTAATAATATCGCGATAAAAAGTCATTAATGTATTTACAACAGCACCTTCATCGCGTTCAAGGTAACTATCTCAATAATTTCATCGTATCAAAATCTCTCTGCCTTGTGATACGCTAGTTAGTATTCGATACAAAGAAGAACAATCTTCATAGTGGAGAGCGAACTTAACATATTCTACGTCGAATTCATAAAATCCATCCGCAAAGAAAAGTTAAATGATCCATCAAACCAACGATCTTATTACAGGAGGGTGTAAATCCCGATTCTTCCAGACCGCTTACGATAGTAATAATTTTGACAGAATATCAATCACAATTATCTTTTTTATCGCATCTTTAATATAACATTAAAAGTCATATGCGAAAAAATGTGTTATACCATTACTAAAAATCAGCTTTTATTAAAAAAAAGTGGATAGAATGACTTTCTTATGAAATAGTGGTTACGAAGGAATATATTTAATAATAATAAAACAAATGCGTTATTGTTATTTTTTATGTATGGGTATAAAAGTTCTCGGGTACCAACTGTTCTAGATGAGTCGAACCCGATAATAGTGGAACTTTAAAGAACTATTTTATACTGAAAAATTTATTATAAATTTAATAATTTCCTGTATTTTTCTGTATTTTTCACAAATTTTAATTATTAATATCCCGCTAATATGAGGGTACCCATTCGACTCATCTAGAATTTTTTGTATCCATACATTTTTAATTAAATTCATGTATTTATAATATCATTATCAAAAGAATATAAAACATTTTGCATGGTAAAATTATTTAATTGTAATACGACAAAAATCAAAATTTGAATATAATCTCATAATTTATGCGCGCGCGTACGCATGTATTTTATTATAGAAAGCTATACATGTATATATAAATATGTATATATACAGGGTGTCTAAAAAAAAAAACGGATCGAAACACAATGGGGACGTAGATTGGATCAAGGGGAACAAAACAGTTTTGTACCATTTTGCAGTTGACGCAATATTTAACGAGATATTAACGTTTAAAGATAGGCGAATACAAGCGTCCGACCAGCCTACTGCTCATGTACTGCAGCAGTTGTGAATTATTTAAAATAAAAGTATAAAATAACTTCCAGAAACTTACTTAAAATATAAAATCGTAGGAATCGGTGAAAAAACTGATACGATTTGTTTAAAGTAAAAAATATAAAACAGTTTCCTGAAACTTATTTAAAATATTAAATAAGAAATAAGTCAGTGATTCAAAAATAACGAAAAAATAGCAAGGCGTCAATATTTTATGCAAAATATTATTCGGAAACTGTTTTATATTTTTTACTTTAAACAAATCGTATCAGTTTTTTCACCGATTCCTACGATTTTATATTTTAAGTAAGTTTCTGGAAGTTAT